TGGGCTGAATCATCAAAATGGCCTTTCGCAAACCAGATATTTTCAAATCGTATAAATAAGTAGCATATTTTAATATTTAAAAACTAATAAAAAAAAGCAAAGAAGCAGGGAAGAAAACAAGGAGTTACCTTACTGTTGGAGTAGTTGGACAGAGAGAGGAAGACAAACTCAAATAAATTGCCGTCCGGTTGTTTTAGAGTTACGTCTGGGTAATACCATGAATCTGATATGCTTCTCTCTCGAGTTGAAGTTGGTGATGATTGTGCCGTTGAAGAGTTGCGACAACCGCATAATATACATACAAAAATTTCTTTCTTAGATTATATGGCATTATGTTTAAGTTGATTTAAAAGTTATCATGTACATACATTCCTTTTTAATTCTAAATATGTAAACACATTTTGTAAGCACATACTTTATTAATATTAATGCATTTGTTTTGAAATTCCGATATCGTTCATCAGACATCATTATCACATAACATATTCTATCAACGAGCACACATAATCATCACATAAATCTATTCCTAGACTAAGCATCAACCTGCTTTATGATAGCTAAGAAATAAGGAGATAGGAGTTTTTGAAACTTTGCACTTGCTTCTTTAAATTTATCAGTTTCTCGACACTTTATCAATATCAATGTATCTCTGATCTAAGACCTAGAGTTTCACAATGCAATTATCATATGGAGAGGAGAACTCCAAACTGAAATAATGGAAAAGCCTACTTACTTTATTCATAGACATAAAGTTTTCGTAAGATTCATTTCACACATATAACACTGTAAAGAGACAGCTAAACTCAAATGTAATTACCCTCTGTGTTGTATTGACTGAGATTGCTTCAGATAAAAAAAACGAAAACAAGAGCAACGAAAGAGCACGATAACCCTAAAACTTAAACAAAAACCCTAAATTCAAATCTCACATTGAAAAAGCAGTGACACTTTCAGAGAGAATCAAACCTTTGGAGTACGGAACAATGTGATCATGCTCGGAACAAAGACAAACGCTGCAATTTCCGAATCGCTTACAGACAACGTCTTAACGCCAACTAAAGGGATGTCGACCAGATATGATGTCAGCATTAGCCCAACACTTGTTCTTCGCCTTTCTTCTCTAGAGGATCAAGATGGCGAGGAAGGTGGCGACGGAGGAGGAGGAGAGACGATGGTGGACTTACAGAAAGAGGTAGAGTATTAAGGAATTGGAGGAATAAGACCCCATCGATCTCGCGTCCTCTTTCTCTCGAAATTCGGAATTTTTGAACATGAACCGAACTGCATGCTGTGAAAAATTTATATAAAAGACTATGAGAGTATCTTTATTTTAAACATACGCCATAAGTAATACCTTGATGTAAACCATGAACTATCTTTGAATCTAGGTGACTATCATTTGGCTTATATGCATAGTTAGCAAGATATATAGGCTAATGATCATTTTTATTTTTTGGTCGAAGGCTAATGATCATTAAATCAAAGAAAACAAACAAACAAAAATATATAGAAGAAAAAAATCATGTAGCCTGGGTATTTACCTAGTTTTAATCAAAATTTCAATAGATTTAAACATAAAAGTTAAATAAATAACAAGCATCCAACACATTCAATATGCTATCTTTTATAATAACTAGGCTTATGTCCAACTATCCAAAAATCTATGATTAAATACCTTGAATAATTGTTACAAAAATCTTAAGATGCTAATTAGTTATATGATTATAAGGTAATACACAGTTAATGAGCTGTACTTAAAAGTTATACACAATTAATGAGCTGTATATAAAAATTACTTAATTTTATCCAAATGATAAATTAGGTGTATTTTTGTGAAACAAAATTTCTAAAAAAAATAAAAATGAGATATATTCCTTTAAAAACAACAAATCACATGAATAAATATTATTTTAAAAAACAATTAACCGAAAATACCCCTGAAAAGAGTCATAACTTTATTATATCCAAAGACTACCATGTCTTCTACCATTCCACGCCGGAGAAAGAAAAAAAAAAAAGTCGCCGGTAAATCAAATTCAAAATCGTAACTGTCACATTAATTTCTTTCCCTTTTCTCATGGCTTTACTTCCAAACAGATTCTCAGGTTTCCTTTTTCCTCCTTCTGAATTTTTTTTTCTTATCTATTTATTTAGGTTTCATTAAATCTCAACCTCACTTCTTCTTCACTCATCTCTTTTTTTTTTTCTGGTTTCTCTCTCAAGAATTTCCGAGATGGATGAAGTATTATCAGCTCTGGCACCGACTTTA